ATGTGAGCTGAGCATATAAAGTTTGTTTAATTGCAAACTATTAATCATATGAAAGTCTGTTACAAATGACTAATAATAAAAGAATGTAAATTGACAACTCAGAAGTTTCACCTCACACCCAGAAAACTGACAAAGATGACAAAAGACAGAAATAGTTAATATTGGAGGAGCTGAAATCAGTCAATAATCATTTATCAAGCACTTACAATGTGCCAGGCACTGTGCTAAGTGCTGGGATACAAAGAAAGTCACAAGATAGTCCCTGACCTCAAGGTACTTAAAGTCTAATGAGGAAATAGTATACAAACAGATATGTAAGATATATGTATATATATATATATATATATATACAAACAGATATGTAAGATATATGTATATATATATATATACACACACACACACATACATACATATATACACACGTATACATATACATATATACATACATATACATACATGTTTGTATATACACATATATTATATATATTATATATATGTACATGATAAATAGGGAGTAATCAACAGAGGGAGGGTACTAGAATTAAGAGGGATATTAGCAAAGATTTCCTGTAGAACTAGACTTTTAACTGGGACTTGAAGGAAGCCAGGGAAGTTAGTAGGTATGAGGATGAGGAGGGCACACATTCTAGCCATAAGTGATAGCTAGAGAAAATACTGAGAGTGGAGAGATGAAGTGTCTTATTTGAGGAACAGCAAGGAGGCCAGTGTCACTGGATTGAAGAGTATGTGAGGGTGATGGTAGGGGTGGTATATAAGGTGTAAAAAGACTGAAAAAGGTAAGAGAAAGCTAGGTTATGAAGGGCTTCGAATGCCAACCAGAAGATTTTTTGATCTTGAAGGTAATAGGAAGCCACTGGAGTTTATTGAGTAAAAAGGTGACATGGTCAGACCTGTGCTTTAGGAAAATCACTTTGGCAGCTGAATGGAGGATGGACTGAAATAGAGAGAGACTTGGGTCAGGCTATCAAAATAGTCCACTTGTGAGAAGATGAGGGTCTACATCAAGGTGGTGGTAGTATCAGAGGAGAGAAGGGAATACATTACAGAGATGTTGCAAAAGTAAAATCAACAGGCCTTGGCGACAGATTGGACATGGGTGGTAAGAGAGAATTAGGGATTAAAGATGACACCTAGGAGGATGGTGGTGCTCTTGAGGGTAATAGGGAAGTATGGAAGGGGGAAGGTTTAGAGGGAAAAGTAATAAGTTCAGTTTTGGACATGTTGAGTTTAAGATGTCTACCAGAAATCCAGTTTGAGATGTCAGCAAGGTAGTTGGAGATGTGAGTCTGTCAATCAGCAGAGAGGTAGGGCTGGATAAGTAGATTTAGGAATCATCAACATATAGACAATAACTAAATCCATTGTAGTTGATGAGATCACCAAATGAAGTAGTATAGAAGAAGAAGAGAGCCCAGGACAGAGCCCTGTGGGACACCCAAAGTTAGTGGGTATGACCTGAATAAAGATCTAGCAAAGGAAACTGTGAAGTGGTCAGATAGATGAGAGAACCAGAAGAGAGTAGTGTCCCGAAACCCTAGAGAGAAGAGAATATAAAGGAAAAGAGGGTTATTGACAATGGCAAAGGCTACAGAGAAGTCAACAAAGATGTAAGTTGAGAAAAGGTTATTGATTTTGTCAATCAGAAATCACTAGTAACTATGGAGAGAGATTTTAGTTGAAGGATGAGCCTGGAAACCGGACTGTATAGAGTCAAGAAGAGAATGAGAGGAGAGGAAGGGGAGGAAGGAGACAGCCTTTTCCAGGAGTTTAGTCACAAAGGCCAAAAGAGACATGGGATGATTTTTAGTGGTGATGAAGTATGAAGTGAGGGGTTTTTGAGGATGGGGAGACATAAGAAAATTTGTAGCAAGTAGGGAAGCAGTCAGTCAGCTGGGAGATAAGAGAAAAGATAAGAGAAGATAAGTGAGAGAGTGGGGATGATAGAGGAAGGGCAATCTACTGGAGGAGAAGGGATGAAAAGGAAATCACTTGTGATTAAAGAGAGAGTTAGCCTTGCAAAGGGTAATACAGCTATCTCTTCAGGGATATACATGCAGGGGTGAAGGAGGAAATAGTGACAGAAGGCATCTGAGTGATAGGAGATGAGGAGGAAGGGAGAAGAGGGAGCTCACGACAAATGGCTGAGGTGGGGGAGGGGGAGTCATGGGAAGTTTGAGGAGGAAGGAAAAGGTTTGGGAGAACCAAAGTGGAGAGTACCATCGTGAGTTGACAAGAGAGGTACAGATGAATGAGCAGTGAGGGCCCAGTTGAGGTTCTGTAACATAAATTTGTAGTGGACCTAGTCAGAATGATTGAGTGATTTTCTCCATCTTCATTCAGTAGCATGTGTATAGGAAATGAGTAGGTTAAAGAATTGGGAGGTTAGGGTCTTTACTTTTTATTGACTAACTTTGAGGGAATATCAATATGTATGTTGAAGTCCCCTTCATCATACATGCAGTATAAAGGTAAGAGTTGGGGAGGAGAGAAGGATTGTAAACCAGATACTGAACTCATTGAGGAAGGAAGATGAGGGTCCTGGAGGCCTGTAGATAATAGTTACCAAGATTTTAATTGGACGGAATATGCAAATCATATGGACTTCTTTGAAGTTAGGTTACTGTGGTAGGGGGAGAAACTGGAAAAGGCAGTGAGCGGCAAGGGGTATTTCAACTCCCTCATCTTGATCAGTAAGTCAAAGATAATAAATGAAAGTGTAGCCAGTGCTGAAAAGGGTGGCCAGGGCAGCTGTGTCAACAGGGGAGAGCTGGGTCTCAGTCAGAGCCAGAAGACTCAAGGAGTAGGAAAAGGCTGTCTCCTATAGGTGCCTCCCCTTCCTCTCCTCTCATTCTCCTCTTGACTCTATACAGTCTGGCTTCCAGGTTTATCCTTCAACCAAAACCTCTCTCTCCATAGTTACTGGTGATCTCTTATTGACAAAATCACAAGATTTAAGATGAAAGCAAGTTTGTTGCCTATGGAGCAGGCTGGAGATCAGTCAGGGGATCACAACAGAAGATGGAAAACTACTTTTCCTCTTCCCACAGAAGACACATACAGTATCAGATGGAAGACACCTCTCCTCTTTCTTCTGGGGCTGGAGATAAGGCAGAAGACAGGTGCAGCACCAGATGGAAGGCTGCGACCCAAATGAAAGCTGTACTTTCTCTTCTTGCAGGAGATGAACAGCAAGATTGAGAATGTAGGTGGTCAGATGGAAGGTTCTGCCTTAACTCTCCTATAGAAAGCTACAAGAAGACAGATACACTCATACGCTATGGGTGGAATTATGAATTGGTCTAAAATATTACCAAAATATCAGTAATCACTTTTTCTAGTAGCAAAACCTGGAAACAAAGGAGGTTTACATCAGTTGGGTCTGTCTTAACAAATTACGGTATAATAAAATATTGTTTTACCCTAAGAAGATACGAATATGACAAATTCATAGAAATTCATAGAAATTTTATGAACTGATGCAATCTGAAGTGAGTAGAGCTAGGAGAACAATATACCGAATGACTACAAGAAGCTAAAAGAAAATCTGACAGTTCTAAGCTCCTGTTGCTACTAGGCCTAGAGGGGCTAAGGTGTGTTGTCTCCTTAACTAAGGGGTCCCTTAGCTCTGTAATCAGACATACATGGCTGATTAGGTTCAGTCCAGGGGAGCCTAGCTTCTAATGAGAGAGTTAGTTTCATTTTCATAATTTTTAGCTAATTAAACTCCTACACTGGCACCATAGCGGGAAAACTGCTTAGGCTTAGGTGTAGGGACCTACTTAAACTGGAGGAGTAGAAAGATATATACCATATGAATTAGGTATGAGACGGGATGTTATTTCCTACAGCCAAATGGAATGTTAAAAATAAAACACAAGTGTATACTGACAAAAAGACATAACAATCAGTAATTTAACTTATCTAATAGTCACTTTCCTGGCCTCTGCTTTCAGATGTCCAGGTATGTCACATTCACCTGTCCCCCAGGGAGGGTTCACTGGTACCCTTAAGGGGGTTTGGGAATGTCTAGTGTCTGCCATTGGCTCAAGTCCCTATTGATTGTGTTCTCCCAGTTTTAGAGGAGTCCCTTGCACCCCAGTTCTTAACCTCTTAACAGTCAGATTAGCTTTTACAAAGGAATATTTACCTCAAAAACAAGCAAGAACAAATATACAAACGTTTCCCCCTCTCCCCAACATGTTGTGGGTATAATTTTTCCTTAAACCACTTCAGTCTCTGGGAAGGGAAGGAAGGTTTAGGTTCACAGCTTAATTCAGGACCCCTATATAGCACAGCCTTACCAAGATCTAAGTTCCAAGCTTCATTCCTGGCACCCTGGCTTCTCAGGGCTTTCTTGCTGGATAGGCAATATCTGCCTTGAAATCCAGGCTCCAACGTAGCCATGGCTTGAACTTCCAGGTCCACAGACTCCACTGCTTGTTTCTACACCTGAAAAGAACAAATGAAACAGATACCCCAAACTCTAAGCTCGATTCTTGGGGCCACAGAGCCTAAAAGAGAGAGTGACAGCAGGACAAAGAGGAAGGGACAATGACACACAAGCAGCTCATGCATATTTCCTAGACTTCAAGTGATGAATGCTTCTGGAAAGAGCATGAGGCTATCCCATACTAGTAGGTTTTTTTTTTTAACCAAGGAAATCAATTATATTGAAGTATACACCTCAAAATACAAACTGAAAACAAATACAAATTCATGGGCCCCCAGGTTAAGAATCTCAGCCCTCAATCTTCTGGCCTAATAAACATTTTGTCAAAGCATCCTAGTATTCACTTTAGAGATCACTTAGACTTCCTCATTGCTCTATCCTCTACTTCATCCTCATTAGAAGTGGATTCACCTTTGTCCTCATGGCCCCCACACAGTACTTTCTTTTTTTAATTTATTAAAATACTCTCTCTACCCTTGAGAAGCTTACAACAGACTAGTAGGGTTTGTTTGTTTGTTTTCCAGACTAGTAGTTTTAAAGACACAAACTGCTCCTGTTCTGGCTCAGCAGCAGTGGAGAGAGGCTGCTCCACAGCTGGGAGGACTACTCAGGCTGGCTTCTACAAGTAGATCCTTTCTGTTTCTTGCATGGGGACCACCATGTTTGCTGACCTGGGAACTGCAAAGTCCTGTTACACTTATAGCTACTAGAAGGGTGAGACTTAAATTTCACTAGAATATAAATCGATTTTCAAGACTTCTGAATAGGCATTGTTTTTATTCATTTATTTCTTGGTGAGGCAGTTGGAGTTAAGTGACTCGCCCAGGGTCACACAGCTAGTAAGTGTCATGAATAGGCATTGTTAATTTCAACTCAAATCTGGGTGTTCCTCCAAGTCTGTGTTTCCTAGGCAGCAAGGCCAGGACTTGGGCTCTTTCTTTTATTGATAGTTATCTTCTCTGGTGCAGAAACTCCCCTTACCACTAGTCAGCTCTTATCAAGAGACCCTGGGTTCTTTGGACCTCCTGCAAAGTTGCCACCAAGTCTAGATACGTCCACCTTGAGGTTGATGTTTGGTTTATTTATCAGGAAAGAGATGTAAAACAAAGGATGAAGCTAGTACTCGCATACCCAGCCTTAGACTCACCGAAGCAGGGCATGTGTGTTAGTTGCCATGTGGCTATAGCTGTGTGGGTAGCCAAAATAGTGAAATAGGTGAACTATCATTCCCCCTTCCCATAGGGAAAATCCAGGAATTATATGATACCACCTAGAGGGTTGAAATAAGAGAGCAACACTTTGGAACCACTCTCTCTCTTTTTTTTTTAGGCAATTGGGGTTAAGTGACTTGCCCAGGATCACACAGCTAGTAAGTGTCAAGTGTCCAAGTGTTTGGTCTGAGGATGGATTTGAACTCACGTCCTTCTCACTTCAGGGCCAGTGCTTTATCCACTGTGCCACCTAGATGCCCCCAACTTTTTTATGGTTTTTTTTTATGTGAGGCAATTGGGGTTAAGTGACTTGCCCAGAGTCACACAGCTATTGAGTGTTATGTGTGAACCACTCTCTTTTTAAAGGTCCACTGAGTCATCATCTCTTTTTGATAACTAGCCAATGAGGTGATTACTTCATCATACCCAAAGTACTGAAGTGTTGAATCAACATGTGGTTGACTGGAAGCAGATAGGAAAGTTATACATTCTCAGTGCAACTCCTGGCTTCAATATTAGCTTAATGGTTTTTCTTTGTTGCAATAGAGGAGCTCATTGATAAACATGATAATAAAGTATATCTGGGGGGAAAAAAACTCTCGTAAAAACAAAAGGCATAAATATAACGTATTTTTTTAAAGAAAAAAGTGATATAAAAATAATTTTTAAAATTTCCTTTTTTGACAGCATTGATAGGATATTAAGTTAGGGAATACTGTAGATAAGGCACACTGGATTTCAGCACTACTGTGCAAAGTCTCTCATGATACCCATAGGAACGAGATGGAGAAATGTGGTTTCAAGGATAATACAGTTAGGTGGATTCAGAACTGGTTGAATGATTGGACCCAAAGAGTGGAGATTAATAGATCAATATAAATCTGGATGGAGGTCCTTTGTGGACTATGTGCTTTACCTTATACTCTTCAATATTTTTAACAGTGCTTTAGTTGGAGGCATAAGCATCAAGCTTATCAACTTTGCATCTGGAAAAACCCTGAGAGGGATAGCTTGCACATTGCATAACACAGGCAAGATCCAAAGAGATCTCAAAACGTCTGAAACTATTAAAGTCTGAATTTAATAAAATGAAATTTAGTAAGAATAAATATAAAGTACGTTAAAAAATAAACCGCACAAACAATATGGTGCAGTGCAAAAGCCACTTACTATTTGTGTGATTTTTAGAAAATTAGTCAACTCTTCTGAGCCTCAGCTGCTTCTTCATCTAGAAAATGACAGAGTTGGACTAGATTGGGTGTCTGTCGGCTATAAATCTATGGTAATATGATACTATGTTCCTTTGCACAGAATAAAGGAGACTATGTAACAAATCACATAAAAACAATCTGGATGTTTGTACTATATTGTAAGTTTAAAGCAAGTCAACAATGTGAACCCCACAAAAAGCTGCATTAAGAGAGGTATAGAGTCCAGAAGGAGGGAGATAGCCCAGTGTACACTGTACTGGTCAGACTACCTACATAGTGCTATTGGCGGTCCTGGATGCCTCATTTTAAGAGGACATGTTCAGAGAGGGTTGATCAGAATGATGATGAAGGAACTGAAAACTATGCCATGTGAAGATTTTTGAATAAATTGGGGATATTTGTGTTTAGCTTAGACAAAAGAAGATTGAGGGAGTACATGATAGCTGTCTTCAGGTATATAAAGGGTTATCATTTTGGTCAAAAGCTTTTTCTGCAGCTACTGACATAATTACATGGTTTTTATAACTATTATTAATATGGTCAATTATGTTTATAGTTTTATTACTGTTGAATCACCCCAACATTCCTGGTATAAATTCAACCTCGTCATAGTGTATAATCTTTGTGATATATTGCTGTAGCCTCATTGCTAATGTTTTATTTAAAATTTGGGCATCAAGTTTCCTTAGGAGTATTAGTCTGTTGTTTTATTTCTCTCTTTTTGACTCTTCCTTGTTAAAATATCAAGACCATGTCTGTATTATAACAGGAATTCGGGTAGGTTGGAGGGCTCTCACTTGGGAGAGGGATTAGATTTGTTATTCTTGGCCTCAGAGGGCAGAGCTGGACGCAATGGGTGGGAAGGACAAAGCCAGATTCAGGCAGGGCAGAAGGGAAAGCTTCCTAACGATCAGAGCTTCCTAAAGGTGAAAGGAGTTTCATTGAAACACAGAGGGCTACTTTCATTGGAGATCTTCAAGGCGATCTAAATGATCACTTGTCAGCTGTGTAGAGGGGATTCTCTATAGGGTGTAGGTTAGACTAAGTGATCCCTGAAGTCTCTTCCAACTTTCAGATTCTGGGATTCTGAAGGAGGAAGCCTGTGTCAGTATGGACTGTCTACTTTTAGATAAAACAATTGGATAGTATACATTTAAACAGGCACACAAAAGAGGATTAAAAACAGTGTTTTCATTGGAATTGTGGAGCTCAAAAATGATACATGTTTTTGGGTAAGATAAAGTATTTCTCTTGATATTTTTGAGTTCCACCAGAGGGAGCTCTGCATGGCTTTGAGGAGATACGACTTTAAAGCAGCGAAGATGTTTTTAACCAACATACTGCGATAGGAAGGAGGAAGGAAGGATGGAAACACATTTATCAAGCACTTACTATATTCCAGTCACTGTACTAAGTGCTTTACAAACATTATCTCATTTGATTCTCACAACAACCCTGGGAGGTAAGTGCTATTATTATCTCAATTTTATAGTTGAGGAAACTGAGGCAGACAAAAGTGAAGTGATGTTCCCAGGGTCATATAGCTAATAAGTGTCTGAGGCTGAATTTGACCTCAGGTGTTTCTCACTCCAGGTCCAGCACTCTACTTCAAGGGTCCGTGAGTATAGGTTGTCCTGTTGATACAGTGCACAGTTTCAATGCCTTATTAACACAGCCTTTGGGAGATTCAGGTCCCAAAAATTAAGAATAAAATTCATTAGCTGGTAAACAAATAGTCTTCTGGTGATAACCCTCTCTAAATTAAATATGCTTTCAGACAAACCGTCTGATACTTTTTTACTTTAGAATTTTCCATATGTGAGAATGTGTGTGAAATTATGGGCAAAATTGTGGAGATTTCTAGGAGTTCTCCTGTATAAATTCATCCAGTTTTTAATGTGAAAGCAAAAGCTTGAACCAACAAACAAAAGCTAGACCAACAGAGTTAATTCAGTCATTTTCTCCAACTGGTGGAGGGAGGTGAGCAAGCCCTTGCCAGTCCCTACAGCATCCCATGGCCCAGGCATAGGGTTGACTACCTTCCCTCTGCTCCCCCTGTAGCACCATGGCCCCATATGATGTATTGGGAATCCCACTTCTCTCACTTCAGAGAGGGAGGGAGAAAGGGGTGGAAACTTTCAATGGAGGATGGAAGCCAGTACTTAGGGTGACAGGGCACCCCTAGTCTCATACAATACAGGAGTATGCTAGAGTACTCTCCTACTGACTCATGAGAGCAAATTGTTAAATTTTCAGTGCAAGCATTTACACCTTGGGAATTGTCAAATGCCACAAATCAGGGCTTGGTTTATCATTCTGTTGATTATTTAGACTTAAGAAAGTAAAGAAAAAAACACAAATAATGCAGATTAAATTGAAAAGTATGTCATGCATTTTCAGAGAACTACTTGTTAAACATTTACTAACATACCTTCTCTGATACCCTCCACTAACCTTGCCCTTCAGGGAGTGGGGCCAGAACCCATTTGTATGCCTTGTGACAGGGGGCCTACAGATGCTTGTTGACAGTCAGGTATTAGGTGCCTCCTGTTGTGTGTTTTCCTCTGGGTCTTTCTATCTAATGTTCATTCTCCACACCCCCCCTCAACCATCTTGGTGAAGGAGGTTCTTAAGGCAGGCTGGGGACTGGGTTGGGCAAGACTGAGGCCCCAAAGAGGTCATTGCTTGTGTTAGTGGGGCCACAACCTCACGTATTTACTGGACCCCTTGTCTCAGGTATTGGAGAGTCAGAGATTTTTAGGAAAGATGTGGTAGAGCTGGTCAGAAGGATGTGCTTTCAAATCCTGCCTCTGATACTTACCTATATAACCTTTTGATCCTTAGAGTATTCCATGACTCTAGGAAATAGCTTAGTGACATGAAAAGTGATGTAGAAATTGGAAACAAGGGCCAGGGGTTCAAATTCCAATTCTGCCATTTCCTAACCATATGACCTTACTATCTTTAGACCTCAGTTCCCTCAACTATAAAATGAAAGTGTTAACCTAGATAACCTTTAAAAACCTTTAAAGTTAACCTGGGTGATCTGCCATCTCTAAGTCTATGATCTTATGATGAGTCAGTGCAATGATTTTTAATGTTTTTATTGTACATTATTTGTTATACAAATGGCAATAAAATTCTTAATTTTATTTGAATAAGATACGAGGTAATAAAATTACTTGTGTAGGGGCATTGTTTTTTTTTTTTTTGGTAAAAAAGGAAAGGAGTGGCTACATAAGGTCTGTAAACCGCAGCTGTATTTGAAGCTTTTCTAGACTGTTAGAGCTTGCCAGAGCTTGGACTGTGTTGGCAAAGTCTTTGAGAACTCAGGCCTGCGTGGACAAGAATGAAGCACGGGAGCAGGGCTTTTAAAAACATCGGAAATTCTGCATATGAGTGTTGCTCCCTCACTCGTCTTCATGCATACAGTTAGTTTAACACTGCTGACAGCAAAAGCGGTTTCGCAATTCTTTCTTCAGAGCTTTACTGCTTTTAGGGGCAGCTTGTTTTTGCTTGCTTTTTTGACTAAATGTTATTACTCAATTTGATCATTTGTCTTATTTCTTTTTGTTTTATTGGAGCTTTCCTATGAATCATTTCCTACTAAATGGACCTCCCTATAGAATCCGCCTTTGTAACAAAGAGAAAGCTGCAAAGAACCAGCCAAAAGAGTAATTATGTTTGGTATCCTATGCCATATTTCACACTGGTAGTTTCCCCATCTCTGAGAGGAGAAAAGTGTTTCGTTATTCCACTGGAATGAAAATTGATTTCTGGATTTAATCTGACTTCAGATGCTTTTTGGTTGCCACTCATTTACGTTATTGTAATCATTGTGTATGTCATGTTTATGGTTCTGTATTGGTTCGTGGGAATCTTATCTGTTACTCAGAAATCCTTACATCTTTTATTTCTTTTTTTTTTTGTTCCAGATTTGTGATTTTATTGCTGTGGAGGAAGCCAATGAGGAAAATGCCCCACCCCCACAATGCACTTTGTGTACTTTTTAATAAATTGAAGTTTTAGAAAGCTGTCTGGGTACTTGGAGGTTTAGTGATTTGCCCATGGTTCCACACCTAGTATGTGTCAGAGACAGGAATTGAACCTGGGTCTTCCTGACTTCAAGCGCAACCCTCTGCCAATATAAGAAACAGCTAAAAACCTCAGTTCAAATTCTGACTGCACATTTGTTAAAAGAAATTTACTTTTTTTCTTTCCTTTTTTAACTCAGTAGGACCCTGGGCAAGGTATATAACTTCTTTCCACCTCAGTTTACTCAATTGTAAAACATATAATATTGACACCTACATCATAGTGTGGTTCTGAGGATCAAATGATATAACATATTTGAAGTGCTTTGCAAACCTTAAAGTGCTATCTGTATAAATGCTTGTTATTATTATTACATCACTTTGCTTCCCTTTATCATCCTTTCTTATGGCACTATATCCCATTACATTCTTGAATGAATGAATGAAAAAGCATTTATTACACACTCCCCATGTGAAAGGCATTGTGCAAAGTGCTGTGGATACGAATACATGAAAGTCAGTCCCTATCATCAAGGTGTTAACATTCTAATGGGGGAAGAAAGCACAGAAAGGGAGGCTGGTGAGTGGCAAGTAAGTGATAGGGGTTTGGAAATGGCTGGAAAATGGCAACCTGTTTCCAGGCAAGATGAGACAAGAGTTAGCCTCTCAGAGCCCTAAACCGCAGGGGCAGAGTCCAAATACCAGTGATGGGGATCAGTAGAATGGCTACAATGCAGGCAGCAGGCTTTGGAAAGGACAGTTCCAGATAAGTTAAAAGGAAAGCTCCTTTAACAGAGAACTCAGAGCCCCAGGAGCAAAGTCCAAGTTCTGGTGGGAGAGGGAGGAGGAAAGCCTGAAGATATGCGGCATTTTGCTACCACACATGCTATAAATATTTTGGTACATATTTTTCTGGAAGGAAGATAAAAAGAGAAAAAGGTTAAAAGAAAAAAAAAAGGAGCTACTGGACCACTTTAAAAGGCCAAAATAAAGGGGGTGGCACTTCTCAAAAGAAAGCTGTTTTTCCAAGAGATTGCATCAAATAATGCATCTTGGGAGGAGAATGAAACCCATCCTATAGCATGTGCTAAGGTGGCTACTTTAAAGCAACCAACTCGTTTTGGACACAGTGCCCATCACTGCAACTTAATCAGAAGTCTTCAGCTTTCTTAAGGACAAGCCAGTGATAGGCATACTTCACCGTCTATTCAGAGCTGCCATAGTCTTAAAACAAAGGCTCACCACACTGCAAGGTCCTCAAATTGATTATGGAACATCCTCACTCCTTATTGAACTCACTACTGATTATGAATGGTTTAATAACTTTTCTAACATCTAAATTGTTTTCAATGTTAGTTGGACAAATTCACAACTCCAAGAACAGCACACTAGTAAACTCATATCCCAACAGCCCCTCCAACACTGCATATTTGTCTGTCATCTTTACCAGTTTGTTGGATGTGAGAACTTTCACAGTTGTTTTAATTTGCCTTGAGATAATTTTTTTCATGACGTTTTAAAGATTTGTGTTTCTCATTCTGAAAACAACCTGTTCATATATTTTGATTCACATCTGTTAAGGAATGCCTTAGTTTTAAAATTTTGTGTCAATTGCTTTTATTCTCTGGGAATAAGAGTTTTGTAACTGATGTTTGCTGTGATAATTTTTTTCTCACTGGACAGCTTTAACTCTTATTCTAGTGATGTTGATATTTTTTGTGCAAAAGGTTTTAAATTTTGTATCACTGACATATAATGTATTGTGATCAGTCAGAAAGCATTTATTGACTACAATGTGCTAGGCACTATCCTAGGTGCTGAGGACACAAAGAAGACAACTGAAGTAGCTCCTGCCCTCAACAAGGGTGGAAGGAGATGACATTCTATGAGGGGAAACAAAAGGTACTAACATATGTTATAGGCAAATACAATGTAATTTTTGGGGCTGCATTAACAAGTAAAGGGATCAGGAAAGACTACATTATAAACTAATGAAGAATGAAATGAGCAGAACAAGTAGAACAATTTATACAACAGCATTATCAAAACAAACAGCATTGAAAGCTGTAAGAACTATGATCAATACAATGACCATTAACAATTCCAGAGTACTCATGATGAAAGATGCTATCCATTACAGAGAGGTGGTTGTTGAATCTCTCTCTCTCTCTCTCTCTCTCTCTCTCTCTCTCTCTCTCTCTCTCTCTCTCTCTCTCACACACACACACACACACACACACACACACACACACACATACACACATACACACATTTGTGTACAGCCAATAGGGGAATTTATTTTGCTTGACTACATATATTTGTTACAAGAAATTTACTTTTTTTCTTTCCTTCTCAATAGGGTAGGAGATGGGGAGAGAAAATAGATGTCTTTTAATTAGAAAAAGGAGAGGTAGGGAGTGTCACAGATGTGAAATGTTGCATGAACTTTCAGCTGATGTCACTTCATTATTTGTTTTACTTTTATTTAAAGAGAGCTTTCACTGAGTAGGGGTAATCTATAAATGTATGTAATGTAAAAACAAACCAGGGACTCTAAGAACGAATGAAAAAGCATTTAGTATTTGCCAAGTACTCTGCTCAGTACTGAGGATATAAAGGCAAAGACAGCCCTACCTTCAAGGAGTTTACATATATTCTAAGAGGGAGGGGTGAAGAGGAAATGCGATCTAGGCATCAGGTCATATGTGAGCAATGTTGTGGAGGTAGAACTGACAAGACTTAGCAAACAGCTTGGATGTGTGGGGTGAGGGAGAGTGAAGGGTTGAGGATGAAATGAATGAATGGAAAAGTATTATTAACTACTTACTATGTGTTTAGCATGTTGCTAAGTGATGGGGTTACAAATAAAAAAGTGAGACAGTCCCTACTGTCAAAGAGCTAACATTCTAATTGGAGGAGAGAACATATATAGGAGGGTTCAGCTGCATGGCAGGTAGAAAAGGCTGGTGGTTCTAAAGGTGGAACAGAAAGCAGAGGGCAACTCAGTTACTCCCAGAGGTGCTTAGGTACATTTGCAGGTGAGGTAGCAATGCCTGGGGCTTAGGAGGTCACAGTACCAAGGAAGATGGTAAGGCCTAGGGGTTTTCCAGCTTATGAAAAGGATTATAATTGGTGACTTTGTTTATCTAATTTGTAGGAGCAGCCATGTCTGCCCTGGCTGGGGAGGAGGATGTAAGTCTGGAAGTAAATCTGAGGGTTAGATTAGAGTGGAAATATGAGTTCCCTCTTACAGAGGTGAATTACTGTAACATTGCAAACCTGGTAACTGGAAGGATATTGGTATGCTTGACAGAAATGGGTAAGTTTGAAAGAGAAGTAGTTTTTTTTTGGGGGGGAAAGATAATGAGTTCAGTTTTGGAATATGTTTAAGAGGTCTACGGGAGGACCTGTTGGAGTGGAGCCAAGATGGCAGAGTAGAAAAAGCACTTATCTGTGCTCTCAAAACAATTTAAAAATAATGCCTCAAATCAAATTCTGGAGTGGCAGAGACAACAATGGGTCAGAATGAGGCATTCTTCTGGACCAAGAAAACATGGATGTTAGAGAGATCTGGGACACAGAGGTGGAGGCTGGCTTGGACCTCATGTGGATGAGACACCAGTGGTAGGACTAGGTGGTGGTGACAGAAGCATCAGCAACTTCAGGAGCTCTGAAGCCAGAGATGGTAAGGGGACCTGGGAACTGGTCAGAAAGAGATTAAAGGGGACCCCTGTGCTAGCACTGGACGCAGGATCAGATGCTGTTTGACAACTCCATTGCCTGTATCCATTTCTGGGTCATAGTTCAAAGGCAGAGAGGAGCACTTTTGGTTAAGAGGGAGTGGAAGCCCTGAGGGGCAGTATTACTTTTGGTCCTAAGGGATTAGGGACCCTGAGGAACAGTATAATTTCTAGTCCCAAGGGATCAGTGGCCCTTCCTGTGTAAAAACAAGAATGCAGATCAAGAGAGCAGTAATCACAACTTTCCTGAGATCATACCACTTTGGAAACACTGAAAACTTCCAAAACCCCAGAATTAGCTCTGAAAACAGCAGTGTGGAAAAAACCTTAAGCTTGAGATAATGCTCCGTCTGCTCCCCAATGTTGGGAACAGAGTCCAACATTGAAATAAAGTTCCAAAATCAAGAAAGAGGGTGGAAAAAGGAGCTAACAACAACAACAACAAAAATAATGTGACCCAGAAAAGGCTACTATAGTGACAGGGAAGCTCAAGACACAAACTCAGAAGACAATAAAGTCAAAACAGCTGTAAGCAAAGTTTCAAAGAAAAATGTGAATAAACAAGAATTCTTGGAAGAGCTAAAAATTATTTTCAAAATTAAATAAGAGTGGTAGAGGAAAAATTAGGTAAAGAAATTAAAGCAAAGGAAGAAAATCATGACAAGAGAATTAAAAGATTGTAAAAGAGGCACAGAAAACACTGAAGAGCTCCTTAAAAAGCAGAATTGGCCAAATGGGAAGAGAGAGAAACAAAAGCTCATTGAAGAAAACAATTCCTTAAAAATTAGGATTGGGTAAGTGGAAGTTAATAACTCCATGAGACACTGAGAAACAATAAAACAAAGTCAAAGGAATGAAAAAATAGAAGAAAATATGAAATATCTAATTGGAAAATAAGTGACCTGGAAAACAGATTGAGGAGAAAGAATTTATGAATTATAGGACTATCTGAAAGCCATGATCAAAGAAAGAGCCTAGACATCATGTTTCAAGAAATTATTTAAAAAAAACAAACCCTGCTACCCTGATATTCTAGAACCATATGATAAAACAGAAATAGAAAGAATCCACTGATCATCACTTGAAAGAGATCTCAAAATGAACCCCTCAGGAATATTATAGTCAAATTCCAGAGCTCCTAGGTCAAGGAGAAAATATTGCAAGCAGCTAGAAAGAATTCAGCTATCATGGGGCCACAGTCAAGATTATACAAGATTTAGTAACTACCATGTTAAAGGAGCAGAAACCAACAATAATT